CATATTACACAAATCATTCACTATTCCTTTAAAACATCTTCTATCTCAAAAAACTACTACAAAAGTTCATCATTTCCTTTTCTTTATTTCAACATCCGCTTCTGCTGTTCTTTTTCTTTATGTCTATAGGCTGCACGAGTCATTCTCGGTTTCTTTAAAAAATCTTGTGTCACAAGAGACTGCTGCAGAGGTTCAGCCTGTATGTCTCCTACATCCAATAACATAACACCTTCAACCGGCTGCTCTTCCAACTTTTCTTCTATTATCTCAGGTCATAAAGATGATGGAGAGCCCGCCTTCAAAACAGAAGTATAAAAATCTTTCGCCTTTGAAATTGTATTAAGTCTATAATATATCCCTGCATAATTCACCACTATCTCCCATCTGGACTGGACCTGTCGTTTTTTGAGCTCGTCAGCCAAAAAAGCAAAATCCTTTCTTTTTCTAAGAATTTTTGAAGGTATTTCTTTTAAAATTATAACATCTTGAGTTGCAATTTGAAATCTCTGCTTATAAAAAGCCTGTAAAATTTCATTACGAAGTGATCTCCTAGAAAAATAAATAACCATGTCTCGTGGCAAATTCCTCTGCCTCGCAACCCTTGAATTAACCCTAAAAACTTTTTCCGTCTCTCTCAGTATTTCTTCAGGCTCAGCCCCCAAAATGAAAGCTGTATCTTTTATTACCACTTGTCTCAAATCCTCTTGCGTGTTTTCCTTCATTCCCCTTATTCTTAAAGCAAATTCCATGTCTCTATATTGTAACATAGTAATTTCATCCTGTATTATTTCCACCTTATTTTCTACTTTGTCAATTCGATCTTCCAGTTTTTCAAAACTTTCCACAGCATCATCAATATGATCATCCAGATGCTCTATATGACCAACAAACTCTCTCATTTCCCTAATTTTATTTTCAAAAAATTCCTCCATCTCTTCTTTAATCTGTCATGCCATATTTCCCAAGGCATCCTGTAGATCTTTAAGTGTACATGCTGATGACGATGGAGAAGGTGGTGGTAACTTAAACTTAGCTTGCTGAGCTGTCTGCATTACCGGGAAGGTCGAGGCTTTAGAAACAACAGAAGCTCCGAGATGCTTTGAAGCCATTTTATTTTTAAAACCACTTGTTAAAAAGTCTGCTAAAATCTTATAAAATCAACAAATACCAAAAAAAGAAAGAAAAAAAGAGGGAAGGAAAAAAGACAAAAGCCCCCTTAAAAGAAAAAAAGAAGATTCTTGCATTTTATATAAATACAAAATCTGTTACATTGTTCCAAATAGAAGTTCCGGTCCTTTCACTCAAAGAATCAACATCTCAGCGCCATTTTTCACCACTCTTAATTGAAAAAAATGAGAAGATAAATTCTTTTCCAGAGTTAAAGTCTCAAAATAATCACCATTTTAATCTCTCCTGGTCAGCTCTGTCTGCTTTAAATTTTACTCACAAATTCATTTTAAGCGCAGATGTGGAAGCAGCGTCTAGCTTTGCCCTAGAGAAAAATCAGGGCAAAGGCATCCTGGAATGTGGAGAACACCTCAGACTCCGTGGGAGCTCTCACCCTCCGACCACAAAAAAAAAGCTTTGGGGTCTCGGGGAGCTCTACCGCTATCTGAGGAAAGCTCACCTCCTCCCCTTCTCCCAGGGAGAGAGGTTCTGAGCCGCGAGACAGCTGTTGCTCGCTGTCTCAACAGGCTTTGACATATCCCAGGGTGGACAGCTAAAAAAAGCCGCCACCAGCGCAGCCGTCGCCACTGGAAGTCCCTAGACCTATGAAATCTTGTATCTGAAATAATTGTACTATTGCCTCTTTTGAAATTCCACGTTTTTAAAAGATTTGGAGGAATCAATCTAAGCTCCTAAGCCACAAATTACTCCTAAATCAAAAGAGAAAGGAAATTATTGAATTGTTTATCCAATCTTGAATTCCAACATGTTCATCAAAGGCTGAATAAAAGAATGTGAAAATGTGGTTTTAAAGTTAAAAACATAAGGTAATAAACAAAATTCTATTCTGAATATATTGGATAATTCAGAAAATGTTTACTAAGGCATGGTTGCAATCAACCATGTTCAGTATACTATGACCACAGTACAGTATTTCCCTTATCCACTAATTTAGTCATTTTGTCAAAGATTATAATAAGGTTTATATTTTGACAAACCTCATGTTGGATTCTAGTAATAGCTTTGCTTGTTTGCAGGTGATCACAGATCTGCTATCTTATCTTTTTCAGGATCTTCCCACATATTGCTGCCAAGTTGTACATCTATAGTTTCCTGGATACATTTTTTTCCCTTTCTAAAGATTGGAACCACATTAGCATTTCCCCATTCCTCTGGTAGTTCCTGGTGCTCCAGATTTTTGAAAGAAATGGATCATTGGTTCCGAGAACATATCTATCAGGTACTTCAGAATGCTGAGATATAACCCATCTGATCCTGGTGATTTGAACTTGTCTAAAATAAATAGATGTTTTGTTATGATTTTCTATTATGACTTGTATTCTTATTCTGTCTTTTGCTGTACTGCTTTCTCTTTATGTGTAAAGACAGTTACAAAGAATGAATTATACAATTTGATTTCTCCCTATCAATCTCTCCTTATCATCTTCTCCCATGATCATTTCCTTGACTTTTTTCGATTTTTATATGTTAAAAATTATTTTTAGTATTTGTTGCAACTCCTAGTTTATTCTGAGCCTTAGCTTTCCTGACTTTATCTTTGCAGATTTGGGCTACTTGCTGATATTCTTTTTTAGTTATGTGTCATTCTTTCTATTTTTTATATTTACCCTTTTTGTCTCTCAATTTATTAGAAAATTCCTTATGTAACCATGCTGGTTTTGTCTTGGGGCACTTGTTTATACTTATCCTTTTTTGTCTTATTTTTCTTTTGCAGAAGAGAGTTATGTGTGAATGTCTTCAAATTATATTAGGAAAAGTAAATTATAAAATGACTTGCAAATTGCTAAAAACCCAAAAATCGTTTTTAGTAGCTTGCAATTTGTGATAATTTTTTGCAAGTAATTGAAGTTTTGAGATTTTAAAATAAGGATAAAGCAGATTCCGTATGATTCTTCATTAGCAAGGTATTAAAATTGGGTTGTATGATACTGCTGTTAAGCAAACCATATTCAAAAAGTGCTATTAAGTCTATTATAATACTTAATAAAGTGCTCCATTTTATAAGGTAATATTTGAAATAATTGCTAGAGACATATGCTAAACCAATTATAAAAGAGATATCTATTTTCTATCCAAGACTTTTGAAAAATTCTGATTTGGGGAGAAATGGATTGTTATGCCTAAAATGAATTTGAATGATTGCTATTCTAAATATTTCTAACCAGAAGTGAATCTTTACAAACTAAATTAAAGTTTGACATTGGCTGATGAAGAAAGCTTACATCCAGTCTTCCTTCAGCTGATAGTTGGGCTAACAGCATGGCTGCAGAAGTAATAATCATTAAAGACAAGAAACTCAAGTCATAGGCACCATTGTGTGATATAGCATCGAATCACAGTATATGCAAGTGAAAATTATTTTTGACTACATACCACACTTAAAAGTAATTATCAATTATAATAGCACGTTATAAAGAAAATACGAATACATATGTGGTATTGTACAGTGCATGAACATATTTTAATTGAGCTCCAGTAATCAAATGATATTCAACTAAAATTGAACATCCCCCAAAAGGAAACATTTAAACAGATGCAAATGATGTCAACTAAATTTACAAAAGGATATAACATGGCTCCTTCCTTCCTTCCTTCCTTCCTTCCTTCCTTCCCTCCCTCAATTTAATTAAAGTTATATTTACCCAAATTAGTTATTTTCTGTATTTTTCTTTGCCCATGAAGCTACATATCTTTCAGACATTCTTGAAGCAAAAACCAAACTATTTTGTTTACATATACACTCTAACATTTTTTTTATTTAACAGCTATATGGTACCTAACAAAAATTTAGTACAAATAATTTAAATGTAATACAAATTAAAATTTAGGCAAAGAAAACTTTGAACATATATACCCAGATTTCCCTTTATGCCACCCAGTTTGTTCTAAAAGAACTTTTTACTTTCAAAAGCACTTTTATTATTTTCCAGAATTTCAAAAAGATTTTGCTATTCAGCGTGCATGCCTCCAGTCAATATAGTGTCACTTAAAAGTCTTCCATAATAAACAAGGACTATCAATTCATTCTCTGGATCAAGACACACAGAAGATACTGCTTTTCTGAATACAATCAGGGCAAAATTAATTATTTTTAATTTCTGACTTATTATACTCTACTGAATCAGCAGACTTTATGTGGACCTGGAAGATTAATCAAATCAAATTATTATAACCATTACGCTAGAAAACCTGAAGGATTTTAAAGCAATAATCCATCCTGTTATGAGCGATATATATTGAATGATAAGCTCTTGAAATTCCACATTGGATTTGAATGAAGTATTTTTCAAACTGGGAGATGGATAGTAAAGAGATGAGAAGCCAATGGAATGTCAGAACATAGAAAAATATGGCTAGAAGAGATCTTGGAGGTCTTCTATTCCAATTCTGTTAAACTATGTAATTTCAGCCAAACTGCATGAGATTGTTAATAGGCAAGAGAATGTACCAAAAGCTGAATCAAATCAAAGGCCTATTTAGTCTAGCATTTAATTTCTCAAAAGTCAATATTAACATAATATTATATCCTTTTTGGGCTTCGAAGCAACTGCCATTCAAAGAAATACTTGCCTCTAATTCTAGAGTATCCATTTATAGCCCCTTTTCACCATGATTTTAAATTCAATCTAATTTCTAAAATATTAGATTTCTAATTTCTAAGCTTATATTTCAACAACAATAATCACATTGTCATAAAATCGAACACCATATAGTCAATAAAAAGCATATATTTCAACAACAATAATCACACTGTCATAAAATTGAACACTATATAGTCAATAAAAAGTATCTGCCATAATTACAAGACTTACCTTCTAGAATTTGTGATGTTATGCAAGAAGTCATACAAGCTGATGGTTTCTCATGTGAATCTATTAAACCTGGGCCGGCACACTTGGGAATGGTAACAGGTGAGACTGAAGAACCACCCAAATTCAAGGATAAATCACTCCTGTCCCAACATAAATTTTGATTTCTCAGCTCCTTTTCATATTCTTCAGCTGCCAATTTTTCCAAGTGTTTATATCTGAAAATTAAATTCCAAAGGGATTCCGTAAAAAAGAAAAAAGTTCAGCTTACACTTGTTTATAAATGAATCAGCCATAAAAATATATATTACTTCTTGACACATGAAATAAAAGCAAAACAGGCTGCTGGATTAATCTTCCAGGAGTGTGGGGAGATGGGGGGAAGATGTGCAAACAAACAAACAATAATAGAATGTTGCATCCCAAAATAATTGAAATGAAAAATACATTGCCTCCCAAAATAATTTAAATGAAAAAAAAATCAGAAAAATGCTTTCCAAATTTCTAGCTCCAGTTTTGCTAAAGAAAGAGGGTGGAAAAAGCTTACTGCTCAGAGAAGAAAGCCTTAAAGAATGCAACTTATAAATGTTTGGACTAAAAACAGTCTGAGTGTCTGAACCTGTGATTATTTGTTCTAAGTTCAGTACACTAAAATCACTTCAGTGCCTACAATGGAAACTTTTAAAAAACATTAAAAGATTTCTCTGCCAGACTGAAGATATCCAATAACTTGGATATGATGTCACATATAGTTTATTCATCAAAGTCATTTGAAAAGAACAAAGATACATCTGTTTTGCATTTTTGGCAGGCAAGATTCACTAACTATTTATTAGGACCAGTTACCAATCATATTATTTTAAATGTTATGACCAAAATTATTTGAAAAATGTGCCTCTTCCAGATGTCCACTAATTTATCAAATTATTTGAACATGGAGTGCATACATGAATACATATATGAAAGTAGATTACGGATTTTACCTTACTCAGTCATCAACTCCTAAAACAGCCAAATCAAAATTTAATTGTAGATAATTGAGTGCTAGCCCTGAAGTAGTTTCTGGCAGTTTTTCTAAGTAAACAGAATCAGTTTTAAAGTCCTCAATGGAACTACATCTACATGGAAGGAAGGAAGCAATGGAGTATCCCAAGGTTCTGTTTTAGGCCCAACATTTTCATAAATAATTTAGATGAGAGATTTAGAAGGGGAACTCATTAAATTTGCAGACAACACCAAGCTGGCAGGAATAGACAATACCCCAAAATATAAGCTCAAGATCATGTCATCTTGTCTTAGAAAAGAAAAACTAAGATCACAAGTACAGATTAGGTGAAACGGGCTCAACAGTAGTAACTGTGAGAGAGATCTTGGAGTCCTAGTGGACAATCACTTAAATATGAACCAACAGTGTATAGCAGCAGCCAAAAAAGCCACTGCAATACTAGGCTGCATTAATAGAGAGACAGAATCAAGATCACATGAAGTATTAGTATCACTTTACAAAGCCTTAGTATGTCCAAACTTGGAATATTGCATTCAGTTTTGGTCACCACAGTATAAAAAAAGATGCTGAAACTTTGGAAAGAGTGCAGAGAAGAACAAAAATGATTAGGGGGGCTGGAGGCTAAAACATGAACAGTTGCAGGAATTGGATATGCCTAGTCTAGTGAAAAGGCTAGGGGAGATATGATAGAGATGTTCCAACATTTGACGGGCTGCCTCAAAGATGAGGGGATCAAATTATTTTCCAAAGTAGATGAAGGCAAGACAAGCAATGGATGGAAACTAATCAAGGAGAGAAGCCATCCAGAACTAGGGAGAAATTTTCTAACGGTGAGCACAATCAACCAGTGGAATGGTTTACCTTCAGAAGTTGTAGGTGCCCCAACATGGAGGATTTCAAGAAGAGACCAGACAATCACTTGTCTGAAATGGTACAGAGTCTCCTGTTCAAGCAGGGGGTTGTATCAGATAACTTTCAAGGTCCCTTCCAACTCTGTCATTCCATTCCATTTGAAACTAATTTCCCATATGCCAGGCAATGTATGCAATTTCCAATGTCTCATTGCTATAAACTTATCAAATTAACATGCAAATGGCAAAATAAAGACATTTTTCTATGCAATAATAGTGTTTTCTAAAATTCTGATAACTAATGGACATTTTCCCTTCAAATTAGATGCCTACTTCACCCTTTACTCTGAAAGAGCTTAACTTTATAAATTGCACTTTTTTCACAAGAGCCTAGCCCTGTTTTTGTATTACAATGTCATTTTCCAAGACAATATAGGCAAATCATGCAAAAATGCAATGGGAAAGTTTTTCTAGTAGTGAAACTCTATGTGAGAAATGAGAGAATAAAAAGGAATATCCAACATACTGTATTTGCACTAGTATATTTATCCTTGGCAGGAATTGAAGACAAATTAATGAATCCTACATACACATATCATGCAGATTTTCTGTTATACGGTTCATGGCACTTGAAGCATTAATTTAAAATTAAACAAAATTCAGAAATTATAGTGCTATTACTTTCATACACACAAACAATAAACAGTCTTAAGTAACAAGATACGCAATAGTTCTGGGGTGAAGAAAGGGTTCTCTGTGAAACGGAACATAAAAAATTAAGATCCAAATGCAAAATGGATAAGTCTGTCCTTGAAAAATAATAATGATCTTGATTTATATGCCGCCCAATCCTTTGGGATTGGGTGGCATATAAATAAAATTAAATAAATAAATAAATTTAATTTTATAATGAATATAAAAATGAGATAAACTTCTTCATGTGCTACCAACATAAAGTGAATCACAAGAATGTAATGAGTTGCCAGCTAATAGTAGGAATACCAATCCGATTTGAAAACTTCCAGCTAGAAAGTGTGCACTATTATTCAAGGCGACTCAATTTCACTACTTAAAGACCCTTTCCATTAGAAGCTTCCTCCTAGGTTTAGCTTGAATCAGAGTTAATTTCGGTTGGTCCTTCTGCTCTAGGCTTTAACAGAAAATAATTTTCTCATGCTCATGATATCTTTTTAGATATTAGGCTAATAATCTCATTTACAAACTCCATGTCTTGCTCTTTTAACCATTCCACATACTCTTCTTTGATCCAATTCCAAGTTCTTGTGCCTAGAAATGGAAATAATATTTTTAAATTCAATCTATCTGTGCTATCTTTCTTAAAGGAAAGATGAAAGCTTGGAACTTATCTTGTAACACATCAGTTTATCATTTAAAACTAAAAGAATCTGAGTCAAATTTACTATGGAGTGTGGGCAGGTGTGCAAGTGGATGGATGGCTGAAAAAGTACTGGGAACAAGAGCAATTTACTACTCCTTGTTGGCTTCCCCATTGATGTTGCAATCACATGACTGTGGAATGCTGCAACCATCATAATTGTGATTCAGTTGCTAAGTGCCCAGATTGCAACCATATGACTGTTGAAATGCTGTGAGATCCACAATCTTGCGGACCAGTTATATGTCCCACTTATTCAGCACCCCCATAACTTTCAATCTTCACTGTAACCAGAGATCTACCTGTAGATTAATATCTCTATATCTGTCAGATCTCCTTTTGGGTGTTCTGTCATTCTGTTGGAGGGGGAGAGAGAGATGGACTCTCTCTTAGTTGGTTCCAGCCTGTTGCAAAGTTGCTGTGCCCTGAGGATGACCTGTTATAAAACCTTTATCTCAGGGTTCTCAAAACAATCTTGCGGTACTGTATTGGCTTCTGGTGGACTGGTCAGGGGGAGGGGTTGGGTTTGGAATGGGAAGAACTGTTTTGTGCTTTGTGTGGGACCATTAGATTCTGCCTGTCTTTACTGCAACCACTTCCTCTCAGGAAAAGTTCTTTTGATTAATTATATGGAGTCAAGAGTTGTGCTTTTCTGAGAGGATCAGCTGGGCAGGTCCTTTCATTAGGTGGAATCTGCAAAGTCTGTCAACATGGAGAGGCACCTAGCCCTACCGTGGGGACTATGCAAGGAATGTCTGCACAAGGCAATGACCAGGAGGAAGTGGAATGCTGGGGGGAAGCCTCTGTCAGGACTCACCCTGGAATGGACCTGTGTAGATGGATGGAGGCAGCTGCAGGCCTGGAGGATTCAATAAAACTCAGATGGTCCATTGGCATCATGAAGAAATATGACTGGGAAGAGAGAACCAAAGGGTAACCCTCACCTGAGGCAGCCGAGGTGTGAATGTCAAGAACTTGAAGATAAGGAAGGGAAAGATGGTCAGGCTCACCACGGCAACCTCCTCATGAAGCAAGCCATGACTTCATGATGGATGCATTTCAGAACCTTAAGGTATGCAAGACCTTAGCTAGGATGACACCCGCCAAACCTGATAGGAAACCCTCCATGACTGGTGTGTACTGGCTGAGGAAGTAGAGATCGTCCAAGCCTAGAACAAGTACCGCGCAGCAAAGTCATGGAAAAGATCGCCTCCGGAGAAAAAGGAAGCAACTAAACCCCAGGCTTCACAAATCTGATCCACAGCCTGCTTTAAATGTGGCCCAGGAAGAACACCAAGCCACAGAATGTAAGACTGGCTGTCCAGCTGAGAAGGCAAGCCGAAACCCTGCGGGGGAAAACCACCAAGGCACAGCCACGGGCCAGAGAAAAGTGTTGAAAGGAGTGGAGGTCAAGGAGTTCATCACCAAAAAAGGCTGAGGGAACTCCAACCCCACCAGACGACGGCCAGGGGTTGATGTACATCAACTCCGACAACGACCTCCTGGTAAGTGGCTTGGATATGCCAATGACCATTCCCATAGAACTGAGCTTCCCTGGGTCAGGGCTGAAAGCCAATTTAAGGGCCGTATTAGACTTGGGCTGCATCAGGTGCTTGATAAACCCAGCACCGATCGAGAAACTGTGACTCCAAGTGAGGAAGCTAAAAGTCCCAATTGCATTTTGCCAACTAGATGAGTCTGTTTCAGAGGGCATCCCAGCAACATTTGCCACCAAGCCCATAGGGATGCAGATGGGGGCCCATTTGGAAGTCCTACGCTTCACAGTGGCATCTGGGATGGAAAGACCCTTAGTCCTAGGGCTAGCCTGGCTAAAAAAGTGGAACCTCTATGTGAACTGGAGGAGAGGACTGTTAAAATTCCAGATATGCTATCCCTCCCAGACCTAGGAGAAAATTCAAAAGGCGACCACCAAATGGCACAAGCTAGGAGCTATCATGCAAGAGG